GGAGACTTTACCTCCTTCATGTTTACATGGATGGAGCTGGAAAATGTTCTTCTTAGCAAAGTATCACAAGAATGGAAGAAAAAGTATCCAATGTACAGAGCCCTATTATGAAACTAATTTATAGTTTTCAGATGAAAGCTATAGCCTAAGAATATGGGAAGGGGGCAAGGGGAGGGAAAGGGGGATGGGCGGAGGGAGGGTGATTGGAGGGATCACCTCTGTGGTTTATCTTACAAGGGTACAAGTGAATCTTTATGAAAGTAGAATATAAACGTCTTAACACAATAACTAGGAAAATGACATAATGGCTATGTTAACCAGTTTGATAAAAATATTTCAAATTGTATATGAAAACACCACACTGTACCACCTGATTGCATTAATGTACACAGCTATGATTTAATTTAAAAAATTAATAAAATTTTAAAAAAAGAGAGAAAGTCTGTGCATTTCCCAGACAGAGCAGGCAGCCTCACTTTCTCTGACCCTCAGACACTCATATGTCTGTCTTGTGACACACACACCTGCCTTGGCCTTTAGTGACTTAGCTTGACTACAGGTGACAGATAGGAATCAAAGACACCACAGAGGGCAACCTTCTCTCCATTATCTGCACAACAGTTACCCAGACCCTCTGTCACAAGCAACAACTCCAACCTCGGGACTCGGTAACCTGGAAACCAGAGACTCAGGACACGACCTACCTGTGCTAGATAAGCCGTCAGAGCCTGCTGGTCAGTCCCAGCCTGAGGCTGAGTGAAGGCAACAGGACTCTCACTTCACTCAGTGTCACGGGGACCCTGGACCCTGTGAGTGTGGAACCGAGAACCCAGTGTGTGCCCATCACAGTGACCTCGTCACCGTGCATGTACTCCATGAGGCTCTCTGTTCCTCGGTGGCCCAGGCTGCCAGCCCAACTCAAAACAGCCAGAGGCCACTCAGTCCTTCTCAAGTCCAGCCAAGGACACAGATCCTCACCCCTGGATACTCAGGCTGGTGATGATTCCCTGACCCTGGGAAACCCAGGCAGGCCCAGTCTTGATGAAGAATAGGAGGGAGGCACTGTTCCTGTCCTGGGAGGCTCAGTGTCAACACCCTGTAATGGGAGAAACAGGTGAATGTCTCAGTGACCACAGGGGATATTGCTATGACCTTTCTATACAAGACATGGTATTCCATTTTATTATCCAGGATGGTTTAACTCCTGCCCTGAAGTGATTCGCTGCCTTCAGTCTCAGGGGCAAAGATCTCAGGTATTCTGTTCTCCATGTTAAACATCACTGCTCACTACATATTTGTAAATGATAAGAATAAATACCAGGCTGGGCACAGTGGCTCACACTGTAATCCTAGCACTCTGGGAAAACAAAGTAGCAGGATTCCCTAAGCAAGGGAGAGACTTTCCATAATAAATTTAAAACTTAGGGCGGCACCTGTGCCTCAAAGGAGTAGGGTGCGGGCCCAGTATACCAGAAGTAGTGGGTTCAAACCTGACCCTGGCCAAAAAAAAAAACAAAAAACTGCAAAATAATTTAGAAATTAGCAGGTCATGGTGGTTTGTGCCTGTAGTTAGCCCCAGCTACTCCAGAGGCTGATGCAGGAGGATCATTTGACCATAGGAGTTTACAGTTGCTATGAGTTACAATGACACCTCTGCACGCTAGTTGGGGCAACAGAGTGGGACATTGTCTCCAAAAGAGAAAGGAAAAAATGAATAATAACCAGATCAGGGTGACACTCCAAAGGAAAGCATAACCAGGGGCACTAAACATCATCTTTACCCACCAGCATCACAAATTACCTTTATGTTTTTGGCAAATAAACACCAGGACATGGCAGGGGCCTAGGAACACTCACTAAGGCACCCACAGGTGTCTCCAGCCTGTCCCAGGCTCTGGGGACAACACAGGACAGACAAGTCCTTGTCCTCACGGAGCTGGAGCTCAGGGTCTAGTGAGAGGAGGACAGATGAGCAGAGAGATCTCTAATGTGAGGTTGGCTGTGGACAAGAGCCAGGGAGGGAGCAGGCAGGGAAAGGTCACAGGGGGAAGACCCAGCGTCCCTAGAGGAGGTGGCCAGGGAAGGGGCAAGGACGTCCCTGAATGTGAGCAGGGGTCTGAGGGCAGTGGGGGGTGAGCCATGCAGACACCTGGGAAGAAGAGTCCAAACAGGGACTTGACCAGTCCAGAGGCACTAAAGTGATGGGGTCATGCTGCTGACCTTGACCCAGGGGACACACACACACTCACACACACTCACACTCACCCCCCAAGGTTGACAGTAAAGACACCTGCTCAAGACCCATGGCCCCATTTTCCATTCCAATACAAAGTTCCTAATAAGGATCAATTCTCTCTCCTCCCTCCTAGTCTCACTTCTCACCTCCTGGAACCCGCCCACCACTGCCCAGCTCACTGT